ATGTATCAGTTCTATGTTGTAGAGTATATAACTTCGGTCATAAGGATCAATTTCTAATCTCATAGCCTCATAATAATTCTGTAGCGCTTCTGCATATCCTTCGGCTTGAGCAGACATTCGTCACGATCGGTTTTTCAAAGAAAACCTCCGTTTCAAAACCGTACACGTGTTTGTTCAGGTCGAAAAGCTGGAAATAGGGGCCTACAGGCCCTGTGTCGTTTCAGACTAAAAACGGCATGAGCCTTTTTTGCCTGAAACTGAGGGCCATTTTCGGGCCCTCTTCAGACCGACCTGCCCCGAAACTCAGGCACCAAACCAGGGTTTTAGGAACAGGTTATTTTTGGCCTGTTCCCACGACAGCTGCAGCGCCAGCCCCTGGCTCAGCTTGGCATTGGCAAGAGCAGCCTCCTCGACTGCCCGCCCTGCAACTGCAGGCAGTCGGAGGCAGTGAGGAGGCAGGCTGAGGTAGTACATAGGGACTTCCCATGCACTTCACAGGGAGGCAGGAGGCAGTCAGGTCTTAAGGATTCGGCAGCAGCACTCTGGAGGAGCGCTGCAGGAGCAGTAGTAGTAGTGTTAGCATCAGTCTTCAGCGTTGGGCGCTAGTAGCGTTAGCTGTAGTCTTCAGCGCTGGGCGCCATAGCTAGAGTAGTGTTAGAGAGAGAGAGATTGGGCGGAGGCCAGGGATACTTACCTGCAGCCCCGTTGCTCCAGCCTCGTCTTCGAGGTACCTGCAGCACAGCGCCACCTTCATAGGTTAGTGCCTGACATACAAGAGAGAGTTCTTCTTCTTCATCTTCTCAATCCACCATCTCCATACTGCGTAGCCACACGGGCCCTGCAGGGCCCGTCCCGCACTTTCAGCCTAAAAGCCTAAAACTTAGGGCTTACAGGCCCCGGTCGTTTCAGCCTGAAAGCTGAAATACGAGGGCCTGCAGGCCCTATTCCGTTTCAGCCTATTTCAGGCCCAGAGGCTTTTCAGCCTGAAACGGAGGGCCATTTTCAGGCCCTCATTGTGTTCGACCTACCTAAGACTCAGGCACGAAAACAGGGTTTCGGGAACAGGCCAGAAATAACCTGTTCCCCATGCCAGCTTGAGCAGGAGCTGCAGCTGCAGCCCCTGCCTCCCTTCAGCATTGGCAAGAGCAGCCTCCTGGACTGCTCGCCTGCAGTCAGGAGGCACACCCGGTAGTACATAGGAAGTTCCCATGCACTTCATGGGGTAGGTAGTTGTCAGTAGGCACGAGTAGTCTTCAGGATTCGGCCACAGCACTCAGGAGGAACGCTGCAGTAGTATTCAGCGCTAGGCAGTAGTCTTCAGTGTTAGCTGTAGTCTTCAGCGCTGGGCGCCCATAGCTGTAGGTGTAGTCTTCAGCGCTGGGCGCTAATAGGTGGTAGATAGTAGAGTTGGGAGAGATGGCTGGCGGAGGCCAGTGGTACTTACCTGTGGCGCCATAGCTCCAGCTCCATCTTCGAGGTACCTGCATCAAGGCGCCAACTTCACAGGTTAGTACTGGACACAGAGAGAGAGAGAGAGAGAGTTCTTCTTCTTCCTCTTCTAAGTCCACCACCTCTTCTCACCCTCTCACCACCTGACTTCTCAGACTACGACAGAGAGAGAAAGAGTTGTGACTTGAGACTTGACGACATTGGATCCGGACTCGACATTTGGGATTCAGACATTTCGACGAGGGACTATTTGGGCTGTGCCGAAGACTTGGTGTTGACGACATTCCCATCTTCCCCTCCTCTTCGTCTAACCCCCTTCTTCTTCGTCTGTGTATCGTAGGGGCTGGCGCAGTCTTCCTGCGTGAAGCGCCAGACCCCATTCACACCGTGTAACGACGATGATGATGTATGTTTAGGGCTGCATTGCAATATTGGTTGTTCGGATCATTGGTATCTAAGTCTTCCGCTGTGTTATCTTATACTTTGTATTGGGAGGTCGGTTCTTGTTCTGGTCTGCACGTTACAGTATGCAACATTCTCACCCTCTCGCTATCTGACTTCACTGCATCAGCAGAGAGAGAGAGAGAGAGAGAGAGAGAGAGAGAGAGAGAGAGAGAGAGAGAGAGAGAGAGAGAGAGAGAGAGAGAGAGAGAGAGAGAGAGAGAGAGAGAGAGAGAGAGAGAGCTTGGTGACATAGGATCCAGACTCGACATGGGACCTCAGACATTTTGAAGAGGGATTATTTGGGACTTGTAACGAGACTTGGTGTTGACGACTCTCCCATCTCCCCCTTCCTCTTTCGGCCTGAAATTCAGGCTTTTAGCCTGAAGAACGCAGGGCCTGGAAAATGGCCCTCGTGTGCAGGCGCAGCATGTAACACCTTGTCCATGCTAGGTTGCATGCCTTGCTGTGTCTGCCCACTCGCAACAGGGTTTGAAGCAGGTTACTACTCGAAGCATTCTCAGGGGGTTCTGCAGACTGTCGAGGGTTCAGCTTTCGGATGCATCGGTCAAAGTCCAAGGTAACAGTCTGTCACTACTACCGTGTTCTTTCTGTGCTATATCATCGTGGATGATCTGGTCCATCCGCATACTGCATTCGAAGCATCAACGTTCCTCTGATGGTTCGGCATAATAGTCCCACCCCGTTTCCTGCATTCCATCTCGGATGTGCCAGAAAAATGCCCTTCAGAGCTTGGTGGTGTGTTTCGCACGGTGATGCGCATCGATGCACTTACTCTTTACACACACACACACAAGACACTCAGGGGCCTGATGGATGATCCCAGTGGCTGCTTTTTCTTTGGGGAAAACCACCCCTTGAACCCGTTTATGCCTTGGCTTTGGATGGGGGCCCTCTGCGCTGACTTTTTTCCTTCACCATTCCCATTCAGATTTGACTCTCCATTTTTCAGGTTCGGAAGCTTCTCACACCCAGCTAGGTAGTCCATTTTTGCCAAGGTCAAGAATTTCTTCTCATAGTCCTGGTCCTCCTGGAGGAACTTCTGGACAGTACAGCTAGATAGCCTAGACTCAACTTTTTTTATAGACTCAACTTTGGAAGCTTTTCGAACCCTTACTTTTGACAACTAAACTTTCTAGTTTGGTTAGACACCAAAAAAAAAAAAGAAAAAAAAAAAGAAGTTTGCTTAGACACCACAGGCCTTGACCAGGTCGGAGAAGGTCTATATGAGTAATAGGTAGTAGTGGGTTCAGTTTCGAACTGCGGTCAGGTGTTCCCGTGTAAACGTGGAAATGATTTTAGCTCAGGATTGTTGCATTGAGGCTTCGAACCTGTGGCTATAAGGTTTCTAGCGCTGAGTGTTTGGAGGTTGGGCCTGACAGAGGACTTGATCTTTTGTTGGTAGCGGACGCGATGGTTTGGTACGTAGGGTTGGGCTTGATACATTGGCCCACCAGCTGGTCTGTTTGTGGACTGTGGCAGTGACGGTGTGGTACTAGGACTTTTTTGAGCAGTGTTCTCTCTACGACATGGGTCTTCTGTTGAGTACAAACAGTAGTCAGAACAAGAAGTCGCTTACCTTTTGCGACTAAAGACCCCTGAGGAGTGCCGGTGGCGGCCGGCCGAAACGTCGGGTCCTAGCCGTCAGTTCTTTCACGATGCTTTTATAATTCAGTCTCGTTCGGGATGAATTTTGTACTCGTCACTTTCTACGCTCTCCCCTCTTTCTTCCTCCTCTTATCTACATGTCTTCATCTCTTCGTTGACTTGTGATTGTATGCTAGTATGTGTGCTGTGGGCTTTGCCATTGATGCTACTCAACAACACTTTGCTTCACAGAGTAACCACCGTAGGGATTACACTACAGGGCGTGTGGCTTTGTAAGTTCGTGTGGTCGTACATGTGCCATGGCTAATCCTGTCAACCCAAGTCCGCGGACCTGCTACAACCGCGGGGAACCCAACCACTTTGCACGTTGGTGCCCCCATCCAAGGCAAGGGGCTGGTGGCCCCGCGCCTGCGCCTCTAACCCAAGCACCTATTCTTGCTCTCCCAGCAACTACGACTTCCTCTACCCCCGCTCCCCTTCCTCTCCCCCCTCCTCCTCCTTCTCTACCCACACTTCCACCTGTTGCATCTTCCAATTCGGGGTCCAATGGGCAATATGCCAAGGGTAGCGGGTGGTTTAATACCAATCAGCGAGTTGTATCTCTTGAAGAAACGGTGTTGCAACTCAAGGCCTGGTATGACGTCGAGATGGCCAAGGTTGCAGCCAAGCGCGAGGAAGAAGAGATGGTGAGACGTGAACACGAAGCAGAGGCGCGGAGATTAATAGAGAAGAAGGATAGGGAGGACTTTCAGAAGGAACTGAATGACACTTGGAATGCGAAGTTCGAATCGGTATGCGGTGCAATTTGTGGAGGAAAGAATGTGGGTTCTCATGATGAAGAGTTAGCCAAGCTCAAGAAGCAGGTTGAGTTGCTTCAGATTAAGCAGTTGCAGAAGGGTAATGCAGCAGGAGCCTCCTCAAGTAGATCGGTGCCTGGGGATGATACTTTATTGGCACGATTAATGCAAGAGCAGGAGATCATGAAGAAGAAGATGGAGTCGGCGTTTAACACGTGTAAACGAATGGAAGGTTTGGAGAAAGAGCTGCGTGTGTTGAAGCAGTCGCACGAAAAAGCGGTGCTAGAGGCGGAGACCTGGAAGAAGGAGGCGCTTAAGTCTGGGAACAAGCGTAGTCAGATTGCGACTTCGCCATCATCTCAGCTCAAGATGCCTCTGGTCACCCCTCGTCACTCTCCGGGGAGGATGGATAACATCCAACATGTGCACAACTTGGAGGTCGAGGCTCTGCAGAAGCTTCGTCTGCAAGAAATGAATTGGAGAAGGGAAGCCGAGCAGGAGAATGCCAGGCTGAAGGAACAGCTCGCCAAGCAGGAGGCAGAGCGGCGGTCAACCCCCCGTTCAACTTTTCGTGAGAGATTAGACGATGCAGAAGCAGTGGGCGGGACGGTCAAATCTACTAAAGTCAAGAAGAAGAGCGGGTCAGTTGATGAGGTTACACAGGAGAACGATCGGGAAGTCTTCATCCGTGAAGCTAAGAAAGAACTACGCGATAAGAAGAAGGATGAGGTGACGGAGCTGTGTGTGAAGGAAGGTGTCGAGTATTCCACGCTCAGTGAGTCTATCTCCGATATCATTGCTAAATGGGTGGAGCGGGCATTCGGTAAGAAACCAGCTGTTCAGGAGATCTCCGAAGATGTTGCCACTGGCATGGAGAAGGAAGATACGCATGTCGGGAGGGACTCGACTGATTCTTAGGGTCCCTCCCGAGCGTGACTGATCTTTGGTCTACTACTCTCTCTTGTCTTTCTGCTCGATTATCTTCTCCTCGTCTATTGAAGTTGAAGTCGTTGGAATCCTTGTTTCGGCTACTTGTTGTGTCTCTGATATTGTTGGGCGAGGTCGTCTGGGCCCGAAAGCTGACTCCGTATGTGATTGATTGGTGGCACTCTAAGGATTCTACTGCCGGCCCTCTCGTTTATGTCCTTGTCTCCCCCTGGTGTCGTCATATCTATGTGGGCAGCACGCGGCGTGGGCTGGATGTAAGGTGGAGTGAGCATGTGTACAGGACGTGTGATGAATCTTTCATCAGTAGAGGACGGCGTAATGAGCGATTGTATAGATGGCTTCGTAGATGTGGCACAGGGAAGTACATGACTGTCCCGATCTGTTATTGCTCGGATCATGATCTTGAACTTGTCGAGAACTTCTTCATTCGGCATTTTTCTGCCTCTCTCAATGTGAGGAACAGACCCAAACGGGCCAGAAGACGTAGGTTAGGAAAGCGCGAGTGTAACAGGCTACTTCGCAGAAGTAAAGATGGGAAGTGTGTGGACAGAGTGCATGATGGTATTTCTGACAGGTTGCTGGTTGAATTTCATTCTGCATCTGGGATTGTTGCTGTCAGTCTGCTTAGTATTCTCAATTCCTGTCGTGATCTTGGCATCAACAGCACGGTCGTTGTGTGTAAATGGGGTACCTTGCTGCTTGATAATTGGAAGACTGTAAAGCAATGCTATGGCTCGTCAGTTGTGTCGTGCTCATTTGGGAAGGATCAGTTGAGGCGTTCCCGAGGATGGATTTCCAATGGTGTTGTTTTGAGATTTGAAAGTATTGTGCCATTCCGTAGACGTGGTCTTGCCCTCAAACCGTGTCTTACCAGACTCCTCTCTCACCCACCCTCTCGATGTGTACTGCAAACGCGGGATTTTCGGGAGTTGATCCATGCCTTCTCTGCTGTCCGATGCTTCCAAGAAAAACGCACCAGATGTAGGCTGCGGACGATTATTTCGAAGGTTATTTCCTCTCGGTTCGGTGTCCATATTCGGCAGCGATTGGTGATTCGTGTGGTGTATGACCACAGATATTGCAAGGCGGAGATACGTAAGCTTTGTGCGTGGCTGGTTGGTCAACTTGACATTGAGGCTGTTTTCAGAGACGTGGTGGTGTGACGAATGCGTGTTGTTTGGTGTAAAAACAAGACTGTGGGTGACTTGGTGCACAACTTCCGAAGTGTGGCGCGTGGGGGAACGTTGGAATGCGGCTGTCAGCAAAGTAGTCCTGCTTTTCCTCGGGGCAATGGACATGTTTCCTTTTGCCTTAGCAAGTTCTCTGTTGGTTTCCCATCATGTATTCTTAATTCCAAGAACGTTCTCTGTCCCTCGGTTCGAAATCCAGTTTCTGTTCTCCGACTACAAATCTTGCGCTCCTTCAAGTCTGCACAATCTCTACCTCCGCTACAATCCAATCTTCTGTCTGCAAGTATTCTTCAATCCTGTCTTCTCAAATCTACACCCTTCAATTCGATGGTGAGTAGTATCGACGAGGTTAGTAGCTGTTTGTCAGGACTGGATGGGTTGGTTCGGTCCCCGTTGGATCACAACCTCGGGGGCACCTTTGTTTGTTGCCCGGTCATTTACGGGAAAGGAATGGAGACACTTTTTCTGGATAATCAGTCTTTCAACTTGGTTGACGAGTCTGTGGATGAGGTGATTGCATGTTGTAGACGGTCTTACATGTCGACAGGTTTCGGGAAGATTGGCGTATGGAAGAAGGATGGAGTGTTTGGTCAGGCCTACTGCCTACCCAAGCACAAAGATGTCAGCAGATGGCGACCCATCTGCCCGTCTCATTGTGAAGGATCTGTTGCTGCTGCACGACGAGTAGGACGAGCGATCAACTGTCTTTTGTGGAAGCTTCCGGAACATTTTCATTTCAATCTATGAAGTACTGACGCTCTGGTTGGTAAGATAGCCAGGATTAATCAAGAGGTGAGGGCTGGCTGTGCATTGGTGGGGGGCTCATATGATATTAAGGAAATGTTTTCCCATCCCTCACACGATTCTATCCTGCGGGCCTTGCGCTGGGTATTAGATTATTGGCAGGGGGAAGGGTTCGACGCAGTCTTGGTTCAGAAGCAGGGTAAGATGGTTCGATTGTCGAAGGGAAGAGGGAAAACGGCTGGATAAGTCTGGGTTTTACTCTTGTGTTTGCTTTTGTCAAGTACGAGCTGATGAATATGTACATTTCTGCTGCTGGCCAACTTTATCAACAGACAGTCGGTATCCCGATGGGCAAGACTACTAGCCCTGCCCTTGCTTGTCTTCGTTGTGCCTACAACGAGTGTTGTTTTCTTTCTTCACTTGGTTCTGATAGGCCGCTGGTTTTCGGTTGCAGGATGGTTGACGATGTATCACTGTTTGTCAAATACTCAGTCAATGTTACATGCTGAAAGCCTACACACGGGCCCCTCACGGGACCCGAGGTTGGAATAGGGCCCCCAGGTCGCGTCACCGCAACCTGAAGGCCCTATGGCATTTT